ATGTAGCACTTTAAAGACTAACAAGATGGTTTATTAGATGATGAGCTTTCGTGGGCCAGACCCACTTCCTCAGATCAAATAGTGGAAGAAAATTGTCACAACCATATATACCAAAGGATATGTGTTCATTTTTTCAATTGTATCCTTTGGTATATATGGTTGTGACAATTTTCTTCCACTATTTGATCTGAGGAAGTGGGTCTGGCCCACGAAAGCTCATCACCTAATAAACCATCTTGTTAGTCTTTAAAGTGCTACATAGTCCTGTTTTTTCTTTCAAAAAAGCACAGTTTGTGTTCAATAACGCCTTTTTTCAAAAGAGCACTTTCGAAAAAGGTGTTATTCCTCATAAAAGGAGGTTTTCCATGATCGAAAAAACTGCCGCCTTCTTTCAATTTACTTTCTAAAGAACGCAGCAGCAGTCTAGGCACAGAGGAAGTTTTTTCAAAAAAAGGCAATTTTTTTTTCGAAAGAACCCTGTAATCTAGACACACCCTTATAAACCTTTGTCACTCAATTTCATTAAATTGGCATATAAAACTAATACAATTGTTATATAGAACTAATGCAGGTATATCACATCCTTGGAATTATATATAATGTAACTTACAAAAAAAAGGGTGGTGAAATTATAAAAATATACAAATGCTGTTTATTTGTCGAGAACTTATAAGAATGAGAACTTATATGCCAATAGTTCTCAAGGACAGCACTAAAATATAAGTCCTCAGCTTGCATATAAAAAAAAAAGTCTCATCTTTTTATTTCTAATTAAACCTTTTCCCAAACATGTAAGTAACACTTTGTGCATATGCAGCCTTATATTTCATGAACAGACTGTCTTCTTACCTCCCTCTGAAAAAAATTCCAAGCATGGGTAAGCCACTGGTATCTAGGTACGCCATAGTTGGTCATTCTGGCTTTTAAAGTGACCATATCTGACCATTGTACTGGGATCTGAAAAGAAGACACAAAGTGTTTTAAATAACTGGAGAGACTGAATTCCTAATAAATCAATCAACTTGTACTCATAGAACCAATGCTTTCACCGATCCTGAGGTTCTAAAAATAAGTTACTTTGGATTTGCCGTCTCAGTAAAAAAAAGGAAAATAAATATCTTAATTTAAAATGAACACAGCTTTATTTGTATTAATAAAAATGTTGAGAAAAATATTGTTTTGTCATTTGCTTGTTAATAGATAGAATAGCAATAGAGGATCTACATATCAGTAAAATAGAAATAATATGTTAGAACGTTTCCAAGCGTTGTGTAAATTCAATTAAATGATTATCGACTTGTATCTCACAAAAGTCTAGTGCAGTCAGTGGAGCCCAATGAAATCAACAGGCAAGATTTAAAACAAACATAAGGAAGTAATTCTTCACACAATGCACAGACAACTTGTGAAACTCAATGCTGCTAAAGCCAAACATATAATCGGGTACAAAAGTGAGTTAGACTTATCATCCATTAATTTACCTAGCAAAGACTCATAGGGTGCATCTTCACAGCAGGGCTTAACTTGTCAATTGCATAACTTATTTTGAAATAGCTTGTTTCTAAATTGGGAGTGTTTCGACAGCACTTATTTAGAAATAGAGCACTCTTCCTCCAACTTCCCTTACTCCTTGTATAATGAGGGTTACAGGAGTCAGAGTAAGAAGGCCTTGTCGAGCTTGACAATATTTCAACATTATTTCAAAATAACTGCCTGCTATGTAGACGCAGACTAAGTTATTTCAAAATAATGCTAATTATTTCAAAAAAAATGTGGTGTGTAGATGTACCCTTAGTCAAGATGGTCTAAATCTCTGACGGCCAAAAATTGGGACTGGACAACAGGCAATGAATCACTCAGTAAATTACCCTATTCTATTAGTTCCCTTTGAATTATCTAGCACCATTGTAGAAGACAGGATACTAGGCTAGATGGAGTATTGATTTCACACAATATGGCCACTTTAATGTTCTTATTCCATTGACTTTAAAGACTGAATCAAGTCCATAAGGTAGAAGTTTGAGTGCATTTCACTTCAAGACCATTAACTTTATACATGATAAACGTCTCAGAGGGGGAGCCATGTTAGTGTGTTACGGAAGTAGCCATTGTTCAGAAAGCCTTTTTTTCCATTTTTTTGGAAATGCTTTATTTTCAAACAGTTATTGGGAAAGCACGTTTTTAAAAAAAAACTAAAAAATGGAATATTATAATTGCACGTCTTGCTTTCTCTTCTATTTCACACCCAGACACTCGGGGTGTGTCTAGACTACAGGCCTCCGTCGATATATATATCTTCACATATTATTTTACAAAATCAAATGTCTCAGAAATACAACAATGCCTTTGATATACTGAGGATTCTATTAGCTGTTATTTTGTTGTTGTTCTCAGAGGCTATGATTTCAAGAGGTTTGCAAATGTCAATATTAAAAATACATCCCAGTAGCAGTGTGCTGAAAC